AGCAAGTATTCTATCAGTCCTTGCTTAGAATGACAAGGAATTCATTTCTAGCCTTACCATTCAAAAGCAGTGAGAAAAACATTTGCTTGAAAAAAAATACCTTGGAAAAATAGTCTTTATCTTACCTGCAGATATATTCTGGCACATTTACTAGATCAGCTACCTACAACTGAGTCTGTCATTCATCTCAGTGGGAGCTAATAAAGATCTATCCATTTTGAAAATGAGACTAACCTTTCTTTTCAGTTAATGTTGATCTGAAGAGATGTGTGTTCCACTTTATAAAAAACTATTCATTTGTCTGGCATACTACATCATTGCACTGAAGTTTCATTTATTAAGCAAGAGCAGTCCCTCTATAAATAATAATTTTATTTTTTAAATTTAACACAATTTATTGACTTTTTGCAATGTTATCACAAGTTAAACTTTAAATGTGTATTTTGTCTTATGCTTCATTGTATCTGTGTGATGCAGATCAGAAACATTCACCATCAGTTAATTAGTGTCAACAGATTATTGCTTTTGACTGAACAGTCTTGAATGCTGAATCAATGAAGTAAGCAATCTAAAACTGCAGACTTTTAGCATTATCATACCCTTTTCAATAATGTTTTTACACACATATAATGCAAAGAAAAAAGAAATATAAAGATTTTTTTTGTGCTTTTGCAATACTACCCATTGCTTTCTATATAACTCTTTGATCATCCTCATGAAGGAACTTTTTKTTGGGGGGTGGGGAGAGGGAATCTTTCTTAAAACTATTTTGACTAAATGAACATACTGGCTAGTAGTCTCATCTTAYGCTGTCTGAAAAAAAAAACTGTTGGAGTTTTCTGTATGAGTACTGTGCTGCACTGTTAAGAAATATAGCTACAGTTATTATTTTTTAAGAACTATAATGTATAAAATAGCATAATATATTTAAATATTCCTTCAGCTCTCATTAATTTGGACATACATCTTTCATTTCTCTAGCACATTCTGGGCTTGGCTGCAAAGCAATGAAGCAAATCCATCACCCATACAAATGGAAGAAACCTCAAATAATACTATTTACTGTTTAGCTCTCACCATTTGCATACCTATTGAAAGAGTGATTCAGTGTGATATCATAATTTGTTACATTCCACAAAATATAATTAAAATTTCATGAAGTTTATGTAGGTTTTACAGTAATCAGTCTTCCTATATCCTAAGGCAAGAAACTAAGGATGACTGCTCAGTTCCTTCAAGTCTTACCAGTATGGTAGTTGTAAGTGATTTCAATTGATTTGAAGCCTGCGTTTGCCTCTTCCATTCAGAAATATGGAACAAATCTTTAAAAGAGAAATTACATTCTCTCTGTGAATCCTGACAGTACTTGTTATCTTTATCTAGTTATTTCTTTTGGAAGTTTATGTGCTGCTCTCCTTATTTGTCACATAAATCTGTTTTTTCAAGGTTAATTTTTGGACAAATTTTCAATGACTGTAGAAATGGAAATAACTTCACTGGTTTGAATAGAACTATGGCAATTCATAGACTGAGATATATGTCCAATAGCTGCTCCTATGATAACTGAATTAKGGCTTGGTCTACCATCTATGGATCTACAGATGGTTAGCAACCTACAGATTGATAACTTTTGTGCATAATTATGACATCCTTTAAATTTTTTTTTAAATGTTTCTATACTYGACAGTGGTTTGGATGTTAACATTCTACCTCTGAAGGTGCAGAAATTTCATTATTAATTTTATTCCAATTCCTTGTTGGATATTTGTTACTATAGCATAAAAATACCACAAATAATAATACATAGACACCATAACAAATGTCTGCATCGTTGGCTCTTTTTTTTTTCCCTCTTGCTGTTGGTTTTATTCATGTCTTTTACATTACTAGTCTCCTATGATTCACTAATCATCTCCTATGATTTACTACACTAGGACAATATATTGAGGCTATTTTGAAAGCCTTTTTTTTTAGGCCAACGCTAACTACTGCCAGAGAGGAATGGTTGAATGGTTTAAGGACTATAATTCTTGCATTTTGCCACTATCAAAAGTTGAGGCTTCTGTATTCACAGCCGTTTGCTTACGTTTCACAAGTGAGTAGGACTTTGGAAAGTAGGAAAGTAGCAAGGAAGGATTTAAAGAGAGAGAACTATAYAGCAGTTTTCTGTTCTGTACTTTGTCAGATGGCCAAAGTATGCTCAAGAGACAGACTGAACGGAATGGCAAGGAATAACTCTACTCAATGATATGCTTGGCATTCTGGTCCCTTGGTCATGTAAAGGGGGACCTAGCACCTCTACTGCAGGCAGACATATCACTGCAAGAAGCTTACAGTCCTGAGTGTAAGGTTCTTCTTCAAGGTATAACATCTAGTCCTTGGCTCAAGGGCAAACTTCCCCCCAGGGCAAAAGCTTAATATAGGACACATCTTCATAAAAGGCAATGGTATAAGCATCAGGCCTCAAAAATGTTTTGCAGATAAAGGTCAAAGGAAAAATTAACCTTTTTTATTTGAAAATCTCGTGTTTAAGGTATCGGGTAGAACAGTAATGACTCTGTGACCTTTTGGCAAATTTTCATATACACTTTGCGAATTTTACTTCCTGATTACTTCACCTGGCATACATGACAGGTAGCAAGAGCACAGGGTACGAAGTTCTTCTAGATGACTGACAAAAGCAAATAAATAAGTGTGAACAAACCAAGAATACATAAATGCTTAAGATTAAACTAAGAGTTTCCTGCCATGCTGAGAACGCGTTATTCTCTTTTAAAGGTCAACATGGACTCATTCACATGCAAGCAGAATAAGCTAGCAAGAACTTACAATATCTACAAGAGATTCAGAAGGTTCAGAAGGAAAGTTGTAGTTCTTTGCTGGGGCAGTGGAGTCAAACAGAAACTAGATTTTAAGAATGGCCCATGTTAAAGCAGCAGTCACAAAAAGGCTTTAGCCAGCCCAGTTCTGGTTAAACAACAACAACAACAAAAAGCCGAGAAAGCACTTGACCTTTGTGGAATAAAGGCATGAGGACCTAACGATCTAGGACGTGTTTTGGCTGTCATCCAGATAAGAATTAAAGCATGTGAATATTTAGGACTTTTTTTTTAGTTTATTTCCCTTTGAACTGTCTACAGAAACTCAGGAATCAGAGAAGCTTCAGTGATTCTGCTTCTCTATGTGCTGTGTTCCCCAGAAGATATTCAACTAAAAACAAGTCTATCATTTAAAACTTACCTGTGGCCACGAAAATTGGATTTAGAAACTGATTATTTAAGATCTCACTACTGAAATATTTATCTACTTCAGGAGAAGTATTGCTGTCACAACAGGCTCCACTCTTTTTTCATCATTTCCATCAGCTTACGAAGTGCTTTACTATTGTGTCTCTCCTTTAAAAACAAACAAAAACCACAAACTTTTAAAAAAAWGGGAAAAATATCTGATCACAACAATATAAACTGCTCCCTCTTCTTTTCAAAGTCCAAAGCTCAAGCTTCCATAAAACAAGGGCAAGTAGCAGAAAGGTAATAACAGCAGAGAGGAATTAGTTAATAATTAGTTAACGAAACAAAGAGAAATTAAATCTGACATTAGCAAAAGGAAATATTTAAAGGAAATATTTAAATTATAACAATATGTTCAGGATGAGGGAATGATATGTCAAAGTCTGTAYGTGACATTACTTATGTTATTGAATACTAGCTTCATGAAATATTTAGAGAAATTCAAGTGAAAAATAGACCTGAATTGTAAAAAGAAACGTACTGGGCGATACACAGAACCTTTAAGAAMCTCCTACTTTAAAAATAAATTTATTTTAAAATAAATTAAAACACAAGACATGAATTACCCTTTAGAATATGCACGTAACATTTTTTGTATATTTGAAAATTAGTACAAGTTCTCCATTACTTCTAAAAACTGAAGGTTTATTTCAAAGCAGTGTAGTTTTTCACATTATGTTAACATAGTTACCTAAAATATTTAAGAAATCCATTTATCAATAGGAACTCATTGTTCCATTGTCTTCACAGTGAGCAAACACATTCTTCTCATTTGAGTTTCCCTGTCAAACTAGTTAGGAACTTCAATTAAATAAAAAATGGCCCAAATAAAACAGGAGTAATTCTTAGGATAACCAAATCAAATACTAGTATGCATATTTAGGGAAAAAAGTTTTCTTTTAAGAAGAAACATTTCAAACTTCAGTTCAAAACACTATCAGCTGTAGAAATATTGCTAAAGAAACACCATTTGACACAGTTAATACAAAAATATTGCACATATGCTGGAAAAAAAAAACRAACAAAAATACAAAAAACAAACTTGGACCAAATGCCTAGTTGGGAATAATTAACTTGGCACTCAACTTGGCTCTGTGAAGGAACTGTACCATCTTAAATCAAAGTGGTTCCCAGGCTGTGCCCAGCAAAACATTTGCTGATAGAAAATGCATAGCTCACACCTCCTCCTAATTTCCAGTTGTCAAACTATTGTAAGAAATCTTACATGCATCGCTTCCCAGTATCACATGTACATATATAATACGTAGCCACATACTTATATACTGTATCTAACTAGCATGAACAATATCCATACACATAAATATTCCATGTATAGACAGCTTCTAAATTTGGGAGGCAGAAGGTGATCAGGGAAAATGTCTGCAGAACTGAAAACAAGACAGTAAGTGATCATTATTACGGGCCCTGTATTCAAATACAATCTGCAAAATGAACACATAAATAAATAGGGAACTCTGGAGCCCATTTTTTTTTTCCCCCTGGACTGTGTCCTCAGCATCTCCTTTTCTACTATCTGTTTTGTGATTATACATTTCTGCAAGCTGCACATCAGACTTAGCTGCAGACCTACACACAACAGGTAGTCTTGTCTTGATTGGACATCTTGTCAAAATGGTTAATTAAGGCAGCAGTAAAGCAAAATCYTGTGAAATCAAACTGTGACAAGTTATCTTCTTGGTTGTTTTTCAGAAAACACACCTGAAAAATCTTCGTCTGCAATACCAGCTCTATCTTCTTCTGAACAGCCATATTCTCAGCCTTTTAAAGAATGAAACAGGACTAACCATCTTCTTCCTGTGGTAACTACAAAATTAATAATTAGATAATAAATATAAATTATTCCGTGTATTATTATARTTTTACTTAGTTGCCTCCAGGCGCTTTAGAATGCAGATTCTCTCCCATCTTATTTTGCAGACCCTTAGTGATTCATATAGCCCATGGTCTCACTTCACTCTTTCCTCTGATTAGGCTCAGTCTGGTCAAGAAGGCATCTCACTCCTCGTCTCCATGATAACTGTCAATTGTTGGAATTATTATCTTTAAAAATATCCATCACTTGCTATATGTGCTTGCAATGAAACAAACAGAAAACCATCATGATCTCTTYAACTTTTCACACGAGAAAATGTGAACATATTTAAAAGTATACACTGTATTTTATATATTAAAGATCTCCTTCCATTCTCATTCTGGGTTCCTGTGGGCACCTCTAGTGCCCACATGTCCTACTTGTTCTTGGCGTGTGCCCTTTGAGTGCACAAACCCAATCTCTTTGCTAGGGTCTGACATGGCTTCTTCCTATTCCTGAGAAAAAGGAAAGGATGGTAATTGCCTTACGAGTCTTCTTTTAGCCCTCCCTTTTCTTCCTTTTCCAAAAGCTTCCCAATTATTGAGCTTTGCTTAAGGCTTAAATCTTTAACCGATGTTTGGTTTAAACCAACTTCCCAAAGCAACGTATCTTCCTTCTTTCCCTTCATTGTGGTACATTACTTATAGTACAGCAACCCTCAAAAGAAAGTCTTTTCAATACTTCAATTAAGGATCAAAGTGGGAACACAGTAAAATTACAACTAATATTCCAGAAGTCTTACAATGGAGAAAGAAATTCTCCTTCACTCTATAAGCTAATTATAAGCAAAATATTACCCATAACATGAGGAAACTTCTCTGTATACAAAGAATTATACGTAAAATGACAAGTAATATTTCTACAGGACTTAAGATAGAAATTCCACAATAATAGGAATGTTTTTTTTTTTCCAGTGTTTGACAGGGATTATGCATTATCTTCGAAAAGCATGGTATAAGATAATTCAACATTTGTGGAGCTTTTGTACAGAAAAGTAACTAAGTATTTTACATTAAATAGCTCAACTTTCCTCTCATATCACATTCCTATATAATGGGCCTTTAAAGAAAAAGAAGAAAAGGAAAAGATGAGATTTGCACTGATACATGAGACATCCAAGAGATGAAGTGCAATAGAAAGGTTGTTATTACTAGSAGCCAGAGATACTGCACATAATTATTCATCACTTTTTATCTTCTAAGCGAACCAAATAATTCTTTTGTATATCTTTATATTGTACGTATCTTTCATTGTCTACAGTACTACCTAGATAGCATTCTTTATATGGTGTGGTACCACGCAACATAGTCCCATAATTTCYCAATGCATTACACTCATACAGGTATAGAATGTGTGACTCACTGTATTATTCAGTTTGTAAAGTGTACCTGCCCCACACATTTACAAAATATATTAAAAAAAATATATATGAAAATACGTATTTAGCATCTGCACAAGTAATATGTATACCTACTACTTAGTCTAAAAGCTACTGTTTTTCTTCTAGTACTTATTTACCAAAGACAGCAGCTGGTCATTGCAAGTGGGCAGAAGTTCTAAAAGATYTGGAGCAGATCAAAACATCTGATGTAAGTTCATTAAAAAAAAAAAAAAAGTTTCATATAAACTATGGGTTTAATGTTTTTGCATGGGTGAAAACAAAGGAATAGAAAGTTTAAGGGAGCTGGAGTTGACCAAATACTGCATACTTGCTGCATACTTCAGATTTATTTTTTTTGAATGCTTGATCCGCATTGTTCCAGAATTTCTTGTTACTTTGATAAAACAGGAAGAAATTTTTCCTAGGGCAAGAGGCAGAGGACTTGGGCATTAGCTCCTTCTGAGAAATTACTAGTGCCACTCAATTCCAAACAGCCCTTATCACAGAGAACTTAAGTCTATCCTACAGGTTACTAGTTATCTACTAACTTACTGGCTCCCATTTCTGTTCCTTTGATGGTCTGTTCCTTTGAACTTGGAGCTAACTTTCCTGTCTTGAAATCCAAGCTATGGCTCATACTTCTTTGGTTTTCTTTTAGGACATTGATGTCAGTTTATATACTGCAAGCGCAGATGAGGATGTAAGTAGATTTCAACTTGCCAAAAATAGTTTGAATGTGGTTGAATGTGGTAGCTTCATTTCTTTTCTAGTAACTTTCTCCTAAGGTGAGCTTGGTCTAATTTAAGAAATGTTTCAGAAATCAAATCATTTGCCTTGAAATGGTTCAGTTAGTTAMATTTGCTATGTTAGTAGATACTACTTATTTTTACTGGATCATCTGCTATGGAAATTAGCCAATAAAATGGAGGGCCAAAATGAAAACAGCAGCACTAATTTYGAATAACTCTGGGGCACTGTGGGTTGGATTCACTGCTCTGGTGAGGCTGGCAGTAGCCCGTTTCGGAGATATCTYCTTTCCTGACTACTTCCAGAGTACTACTACAGAGACAGTACATAAATCCAGTACATGATGAAGCTAACCCAAGACTTTTTTAGAAATGTTGGACTTACTGTGTTGGAGGAGGAACAGTCTCTGTGTATATGCAGAATGAAGCAATTTTGACACGTATACAGCAGATCTGGAAACACGTGATGACAGGGATTCTGATGYGTCTCTGTAGTTAGACTTCTACATGACAGGAAAAGGTGTCACAAAACCTGCAAATCCATCTGTACACATCCCCTCTCCCTAACTGAACCAACTCGGGGAAGTTAATAGACTATAATGACTCATCTAATACTTAGTGGTAGTGCTAGGAAGAGCTTGTTAAAACAAGAAGCCTGGWTTTAAAAATAAGACAAGGACATAATCTTGGCTCTACTCCTTACTTGATGGGAGAAATCTGCACATCTTCTTTTTCTTAATTTGTGAAATGCACAGTATACCTACCTTTTATTCTCCTCCTCCACTCATATAATACTAATTTCATTACTTTTAATTAAATCCCAAATTGCTATTCTATTAAATTACTATTTTCTTCATTAGGACCATTATAYCTCATTACCGCAAATGAGCTGGCCTATACATTGTTAGCTCTCAGAATCTATCTGTGCAGAAATTTCTAAAACTCTGAATAGTAAAAARACATCTATAGTAAAATAAAATTGCTACTCCTAGGTAAATTATATTCCAGATTTGTTTATTCACTTTTAATTGTGAAACTATTGTGACTTATTTTCAGAAAGAATGTCAAGAACTTGTAATGAGATGCTACTTCTTAGAAATGAAAGTGATTCTTCATGAATGTTATATAACAAATTGTAGAAAAACACAAGATGTATTCAACATTTTGAAAAATGGAAACGCAAGCTTTGAAAATAAGCAGGTTAGTGAAACTGACAGTGTGTCAAAAACAAAAACAAAGGTGTTTCTTCAGAAGCAGAAATATTTTTTCTTTTGGTTTCTTACAGTTTTGTAAAAGGTAGGATGGAACAGATGAAATCAAATGTGATCCCTTGCCCCATCAATGAAAAGACTGATTTTGTAGCTTTTAGAAAAAAAAAAATCAGGATTCCTTTTAAAGCAAATACAGTGCATACATGCAGGCATGCATATGTCTGGGTGTATTAATGTGTGTCTGCATAAAAAAAACAATTTGTAACTTCAGTATCTAAAGTCAAATATGTTTAGCCACATACAGAAAGGCGTCCTACTTTTCAGAAGGACAGGCCCCTTGCATGTCTCACAGAAACACTGTATTTCTGAAAGCTCATCTAATTCAGAAAGCAAGCCAGGAAGAGCCTGCAGGAGCCCGTGGCGCTCCTCGGTCACTTGTCTGCAGTGGAATTATTCAAAACAGAGTGAACAAGAATTATTTCTCTATCAGAACAAATGGATCGGGCATCCTGTGTTTTACCATCACGTTTTCTTTTTCAGGTAAATTCCACAACATCAAAAAAATGCAAAGAATGTGAGGAATATGAAGAAAAAAATTTTAAAGAATTTATACAGAATTTTTTAAAGGTTATACAGAGGGAATGCAAACAGTACCCTGACTAACATGCTGGAAACCAAGAGAATTCAAAGAATCTGCCTCAGAGAATTCTCACCAACAATAAAMTAAAAAGTTTATTTATTTATCGTCCATACAATTTTAAATTCTACATATGTTGCACAATGGACAAAGAAGAATAAAATTATGAACATAATGGATTTGTAACCGGATATACAGAAACACTACTAGTTATAAAACACAAATGAAAGGAATTTGACAAGGTTTAAACCTGTTTTTCAAGTATATTTATTTTTGGTAAGTCCAGTGGGGAAGAAATCTTTACTAACTTACCTACTTTTCAGAGAAATTCTCTAAGAAGAACATCTTCAGTGGGAATCTCCCTGCAACATCAGTTCAGRGCTGACGGAACACTGTTCCAGAGAAAAGCTCTACTTAATATGAAACTACGTTATCCTATTAAAACATTTGTATTTGTTTGTAGCTATTGTTATCTGAAAACTGTTACTTTACTTCTGTGCTTCTGGGATATACTAGTCCATCTCATTTCTGATGTTTCTGATGCAATTCTTGTCTGGAGAGCTAAACTATCATCATGAATTCTCCAGCAATAACTTTTATGTGATCAGTCCAAAGGATGGAATAAGTAAGATAAGATTACTTTTTTTTTTTTTTTTTTGGGGGGGGGGGGGCGGAGAGGGAATTCATACCTATCTGACAATTGCAGAATGATTGAGGTTGGAAGGGACTTCTAGAGATCATCTAATCCAACACCCCTGCTCAAGCAGGGGCACCTAGAGCATGTGGCACAGGGTACACAGCTTATCTTCTCAGGAGAAGATGATCAGTATCTTAATAATAACAACATTGATAATCGATATGAGATATGCATCAATCTGTCCTGACTTGTTAGTACTCTAGAGTAATTCTGGTGGCCTTCTCTCAAAGTAGGGTACTGACAATGTTTTTCTGTTAGGWATCACTTTAGAGGAAAAAAAAGAGTTTACTGAAAATTTGAAAGTTGGACTTGAAGTCCTATTTCAGGTTTTTGCAAAACCTTATTTGATCAGTATGTATTGATGGATGCATTACTGCATGTACTCTTGTTACCTTAAGCCCCCTAAAACATCCCTGAGAGAAAGGAGCTATTTCCTCTGCACAACCTCTTGGCATTTGTTTGATCTCATCTCTTCCAGCTGCTCTTCATAAATGATCCTCTATTAAGMAGATTAATACTTTATTTTCTACAATTAATACGATTTGCTTGTGACTAAGCTGACTCTTAGCAGAGTACTTCTATGTTCAGAGAGAAAAATAACTTTTAACACCAGAAGAGAAGAAAAACCTTTTTCCACAGAAGTTCTGGGCTACATAATTCAGGCTTTCTGACTTAGCAGTMATTTACATCTTTTATCTTTCCCTTTCCAGGCCTGGTACCCAATATCCATACTTCTGAGTATGTTTTGACAGAATAACAGAAATAGCACTAGTCCAGAAGAGAAATAATATTTCTGCCATTCTCTGTCTTTGTTTTATTTGTTTTATTGAACCCTGCAGATAAATATTGGTTGTTCATCAATAGAACATCACCTCTAATAGCATAGGATATTTAAGCACATACTGGTCAGGTACAGTTTTGATAATATCACGGAGATTTTTGAAAGTCTTAACACAAGCTGAAGTCTGCTCTGGATTAGCATTTGTAATAGGACTATTAGCTATAATATCCCTCTCTTCCAAACTGTAAGCCCAAGTTTTCTACTTAGCCATCAACTTACCCAGCATAATTTCAGTTTTTGCAGTATCTGCCCATCTTCTGTTACACTTTACTGACACAGGATGTGTCAGCATTATATACCTCCAGGAAGAAATAGCATTTTATACCTCCAGGAAGCCTTAACTCTGTATCAAAGATTTTTGTTAATCAACTATAGTATTTCAAAATTACTTAGTAAAAGAAAATGAAAAGTCCTATAAACATTTCCTATCCATGCTCTCCCCTCCTTCCTCCACTTAATAAACAAATAAAACATAGCCCCAAAAATGCTTCACTCCTCAAGTGATGCCAGAAAATTCTCCAGACCAATTTCTGGGCAGGATCTCTTCAAATATTTAGGATACTTAAACATATRTTGTAATATCAGCAGTGCAGCTGACATTTCTATAAGGAAAAGATTTCGAATAACACAGCTGTGACAAAARCATAGACAAGAGAGCTCAGACAGCTACCGAGTTTCTACTGAAAAGTAACAAATGAAATTCAAAATATGTTTACTGAAGCTGTCTGCATTTTTCTCATTCCCTAGGATAATACTACAAGATGATAATACTGCACATAGACATTATATGGATTACATTCTCAAACTTTCTCAGTACTTAAAGGAAATTTRCAGTGTTTTTATTCTATATTACAAAAAGAATTACTGGAATTTTCAACTTTCACTATCTTAAAAATTGATGGCTTAAAACTAGTCTTAAATGGCTCACTGCTAGTTAAACCAACAAAATCAACTCTTGAGTTGAAGTCTCAGCTATTCCTAGAGTGATTAGGAATTTTCCCAAAGACTACTCTCAATACCAGACTGTTTCTGTGCAATATTTTTCCCCTAGATTGATGGTATCTGATCTGATATGTACCTTGGGAAAAGCTACAAACAGTAGTACAAATTCATTCTTGTTTTGTAAATACAATGGTAAAGCCCAATTTATGGTTGAGAATGCTTTTCTTTTTTCTTTGTCTTCCCTCCTTCCCTGATGAGAAAAATCTGAAAGCTGCTTTTGCTCTGAGACTTGAATTGTCCRTAACATACACAGCTGACTTTAGAGCAGAGCTAGTGTTTTCTCTCATCTAAAAATGACAAAAACTTTCTTAGAATATATTCTAGCCAGTGATGTTGTTGTAAACCTTAGCTTAGAATTTTGGTAACTTAAAGTAAGCATCCCAACTCTTAGCAATCAAATACATCTCTAGGAAGAAACTAACAATATCCTGGCATACAGAACAGGAAGAAAAAAAGCACATTCTTCACAGGCAACAGTGAATTAACAGTAGCTCAATTTGAATATGCRTCAGATGACTATAATTGAATGCTATTATCAGACATTTCATATATTTTTTTTGACCTAATGTCTGCTTTATATTCTCTGTTTCTGCCTTTCTGTTACTGGCTTAGACTTCTAAAGATATCTTTTCAAACTGGAAAGGTATTGTTACACCTTGAGGGCTAGCCTCTCTTCAGGGCTCAGAGGTTAATGGGAGTTGTAGAGCATGGTAATTCCCTCCTAAGCATGGCAAGGGAGAGGTAGAGCAGGGAAGTGACAATTCCTTTGGGTTGGAAAGCAGCACTTACAGAAGGCTGTGCATCTCTGCTCTTTTACTGTGAGCACCATGCTCCAGCTGCTCAAAATAGCTTAAATTAAAACAGCTTGCTACAGCTGATGTATTGCTCCCATCCCTTCTTTTCATTTAGGAAAGGAAAAAGAAAGGGAATGATGGAGAGTAATGGAAACGAAGAACTGTCAGCAACTTTTATGCTGTAAGTTACATCTTAACCCAAGATACAACTCTCAAATAGAATGTTCCCAACCACAGATAAAAAGCAGGATATTCATGCAGTTTCCCACTTGCAGAATGAAATCGAGACCATTATATTTTCATTAACCAAGTATTTCTCTTTTGATGCTTAACCTCAAAAGTATTTATAATGTTTTTTGTATGACCTTTACAATTTGACTTCACTAGACCAAATGAAGTTAGTCAACTTTTCAATCTCTTCTCAAAAAGATAAATACTCCATTTCCTCGCTTATTCTAATAGTCCTTTTTTGAAATATATAATTACCAGGAAGGGGGATAAAGGACATGTAATTATTATCCTTATTAAGGATCCATGTAAACAATATCTGAGAAAAAACATTAAACTATGAACAACAGGTATATCAAGACTAATATTAGAAGTTCTAGTAACACCAGAAGCCAATACAAAAAAATTTGCATTTTGCATTTTAACCCCCCTATTCCTATGCCTTAGGCCAAGAGTTTTGACTTCAGCATAGAACTTTTTCAGTCAAAACACACCACAGTCAAACATACTGTGGAGGTTTCATTAGGTAACTGCTGCAATTCTTGTCGTCAGCACCTCCACCAAAAGCCGCCTTATTGCCATGACAGTTATATCAGCCCTTTATTTTCATATACAGAATGTATATGCTGTATATATGTGTAAGTGATGGAATTTCTGACCTTTCAGAGGGAGGCTCTTACACAATACACTGCTATGACGAGCACAGCAAAGTAACTAGATAGATGTGCCATGAGAACGCAGCTTGGCCCATGCTGTGCACTGCCAGCATAGAATTGCTGCCAGAAYGTATCTGAGCTCAGAGGAGTGCAAATTGCACAGATCCCTGATCATGTTTCACTGCACACAACTGACCTTTTAATTTATTATTCCAGCCTCGACATGTACTACTCAATACATTCAGTGCACTAAATACGTTTGAGAGCTGCTGAGGATTAAACGTTGGCTGTGACAAAATGAACTTTTCAACTCACATAACCAAGGGGAAAATACTAATTAAGCAGTACTGCAGATTCAAGCATTTGCTTTAATAGCAACCCAAATAAATATTCATCTACCTTAAGATACAATGTGTTGATAAAAAACACTTTCAGTAACACAAGACCATCCAAATCGCATTTAATAAATAGACTTTTAATTGCTCATCTTTAAAGTGCCACTTGTTTTAAGAGAGGTATCTCACAGCTAACGCACTAAGATGCTACATTCAGTAACATCCCAATTTAGCAGAATAAGACTACTTTGCCAGAAGTAATTAGTACACTCCACTACTAGGTTAACAATATGAATTCTCTTGTGCTCCCAATTCCTCTGTACATGCAGTCCCAGAGAGGGCTTTTTTAGCACACCAAGAGAACCAGTGTTAATGAACTAATGTGTGCAGGCGACTTCTCCTTACAGAGCAGCCACTCTGTCATAGAAGAAAACACAAATGAGTCATGACTGTGAATATTCTCTGGAAATGCTGCAGGGACCAAAGGTTTTAAATAATTTAATAACCAAAATGGGCAGAGAAAGCTTTGTTCAAAGCTGGAACAAAATAAATCTTTCAGAGCTGGTTTTCTTTTTAATATCTAAAACCTGAATTACAGCATAAAGCTGAATCTAGACTCAGTTAYTTAAAAATTCAAGTTGATTTATTTAAA